TCTGGCACAGCTGTCCTTGAAAAAGAGCAGTTTGTGTCAGAGCTCTCTCAGCCCCACCCACCTCACGGGGTGTCTGTTGTGGGGAGGGGAAGGGAAAGGAGTTTGTAAGCCGCTCTGAGACTCCAAGTGAAGGGCGGGGTATAAATCCAATCTCCTCCTCCTCCTCCTCCTCCTCCTCCTCCTCCTCCTTCTTCTTCTTCTATCTCACTGTATGGGGAAGTGCTTCAGAATAGCCCAGGAGCCACCACCTCCGTATCTGTATCTGTAAAGTGCACCCATTCAGTCATAGGAGGATGCTTGCGTAGCAGCCTTTTAACACTGCGATCAGACCCAGGACCCCAGGGGTAGCCATTTAGCAAATGGCAGCCATTTCACTGTGGCACCCACTCCCTGTTCTCCAAACTCCACAGGTGTCCCAAAGCCCCAAAGAGACCAGGGGAGCCTTGCTTTAATGGCTTTAGATAATGATGGGTAGCCATTTTGGTCTGTCTGTAGCAGCAGAAAAGAGCAAGAGACCAGCTGTATCAAGAAGTGAGCAGTGACTCACGAAAGCTCCTGCCCTGCCACGAATTTTGCCACTTGCCTCCATTTTAGACTCACAACAACTCTGTGAGGTAGGCTAGGCTGAGAGTGTGTGACGGGAGTCGGCCAGGGCTCTTTTTGTAGCAGGTACTCATTTGCATATTAAGCGACACACCCCTAATGTAGCCAATCCTCCAAGAGCTTACAGTAGCTCCTGTAAGAAGAGCTCTGTAAGCTCTTGGAGGATTGGCTACATTAGGGGGTGTGGCCTAACATGCAAAGGAGTTCCTGCTACAAAAAGAGCCTTGGACGGGACCAAGGTCACCCAGTGAGCGTCCATTCTGAGTGCTGAACCTAATTAGGCTTCTGGGGGTGCGGTCAGACGGCGTGCTGAGAGCGGGTTAAACTGCTCCATTTCTAACCGGATTACATTTGATCTGGATCATCACGATCACACTTACCTCCCTTATCCCACCTCACTGCACAGTCACGTTGCTCCCCGGTGTCTACACTACTGACGCGTGGGAGTGTGCGTCGGCGGTTTTAAATTTTTTTCCCTTAGCTTGCGCATGCGCATAGGCGCCCCTCTGTAGAAGGGGGGGAACTATCATGGCACATGCGCAGAACCACCTGGGCGAATCAATCCAACCCCTCCAACAAAAGACTTCCGTTTAAATGTTTGACCCAAAAATGGCCTCCGTGAGATCCCAAACTCATTTAAATGCTAAAACAAGTGACTGTTTAAATGTTGGTTTTCTAAATGCGGTGGCGGAGCTCATCCTATGCACACACCGCCAACGCATTTAAAAAATGGCAGGCGAGAAGTGGAAGCCTTGGGCAGCTTTCGAGGGGGGAGGGGGTTTAAACTGGGAGTGGCTCGACACCGCAGGAGCGATCAGACATCAGAAAAGTGCGGCTAGAACCGGAGAATCAGTAAAACACCACTTGGGGACCTGGTAACAAAATACTCCGTTTTAAAGGGGTTTTGAGCCGGAAAGCGACGGCTGGGGACGGTGCGCAGATGTTGGGTGTGTGAAAGTGGATATAAAATCCATTACTGAAGCGTGCTGAAAGCAGACCAAATGGCCCGTCTGAACACACATTTTAAGGTGCTCCTGGACTCTTGCTCTTTTCTATGGCTTTAGATCAGTTATTGCTTTGCCCCAGGTCCGTAGGATTTCTCCCCCGGGGGGGGGGGGCTTTAAAATTTTTAAAGGGGCTCCTCACTTGCAGGGCATAAAAACCACAATCCGGAATATCAGACTGGCCCACTCTGAGCCTCACCGGCGAACATCTGGACCGTGGGACTGATTTTAAGACCTGAAGACAGAAGGAGCGCAGATACAAACCACTCGTTTAAAGGTTACTCTGATGTAGCAAGCACTTTATTGTTAATATTGTTTTTATGGGATTTCAATATTTTTATTGTTTTATTTGTATCGGCCTGTTGGCCGTCTTCTGTAAGCCGCCCAGAGCCTGTTTACAGGGTGGGCGGGGTAGAAATGTAAATATGAATAAATAAATAAATAAAACTAACCCTCCAGTCCTTGCCCCGACGAATGCCTACCAAGCCCCACTAAGCCTTGGGCTGCCGGGCAGGGAAGGATGTAAGGAGGACTGCGGTGCGTCATGCAGGATCAGGGCGCAGGGGCTGTTACCCCAAGGTGCTGCAGGGGCATAGAGCCAAGAGGATATGCGCTCCTCTGAGCTCTCGGGCTTCTCCTCCTCCATGCTTGCCTTGTAAGACCAGCTGTCCCCCACCCAAGTGAGCTGGCTGGGAGAAGGAGCCCCCCCCTCCTTCAGAAGCCTCCCCCCCAGCCTTGCCAAAGCTGAATAGTTTGGCTGCGATTTCTGGAGGGGGTGGGATTCCCTTCCTTAGTTGCTCAGGCTGGAAGCCAAGCTCATGCCTTTAAAAAAGAAAAAAAAAAAAGTTTTTCCGGGGGAAATCTCGTGGGACTGTCCTTTTAAGAAAGGGGGCGGAGCCCCAAACAGCTCCACCATACCCACAGGTCAGCGTTGCCCACCAACCTCCAATCACAAAATAAGATAAACAAGCTTTGGCTTGAGTAAGTAGCTCATTTCTTGCGTTTGTCACTCGTTCATGTTTACTATGTAATAATATTTTCAGCGTGCACTTATGGGTGGTAAGAGGATCTAATGAAACGTAACACCCCGCACAAGCGCAGCTGCAACAGTGGTTTCCCATTTCCTATATTCTATCTGGAAACGTGAGCCTCCGAACCTCAGCCAGAAGTCACTGCCATGCCAGCTGTGCCATTATATTAAGCCTGACATGCCGTGTCCCTCTTCCCGGCTCCTCCAATGCACAATTTTTATCCTGGGGCAAGAAAAACAACAAATGGCCAACAATGAAAGACATGATGGCCCATTTAAAGACGCTGCATTCCTTTGTTCATTTACCCAACTTATGCAATCTAGGAACTCAATTAGGAACACAAAGCACTCTTCTTACACATGCCCTGAAGGAATAAAATCATTTTTTTGTTGTTGTTCAGTCGCACAGTCGAGTCCGACTCTTTGTGACCCCATGGACTAGATCACGCCAGGTCTTCCTGTCTTCCGCCGTCCTCTGAAGTTTGCTCAACTTCATGTTCGTTGCATCTGTGACACTGTCTAACCATCTCATCCTTTGCCGTCCCTGTCTTCTTTAACCTTCCTTTTAAAAAAATATTAATTGCACCAATTCTTTAGGGCTTTCCCTTGACCAGTTTTAAAGGCAATACTCCCAGATGTTTTGCTCTTTTCTGATCACTGCATGGCTACTCATGAAGACAATATTCATACTGTCTTTAAGATCAGGCTATTGCTATTAGAGAGAAACTCCAGTCCTGAAAGACAAAAAATGTGCTTAAAAGTCCCATGAAATCAATTGAGATTTAACTCATCCAGTGCAGGTTTTTCTGGCCTGGGCCACTTTCTGAATCTGCAAAAAACACATCTTTCTCTCTCTCAAATCTTTTATTATGTGCAGTGAGAGGACAGTATTGAATCCTGTCTGAAAAATATGAAGGAACCTAGCAAAGGCTTGAGCTGCGGTGGCTCACGTGATTAAGACGCTGAACTGCAGGCTATGAAAGGTCAGTAGTTCAGCAGTTCGAGACCCAAGTGTGCCGCATGACGGAGTGAGCTCCCGTCTCTAGTTCCAGCTCCTGCCAACCTAGCAGTTCGAAAACAAGAAATTGCAAGTAGATAAATAGGGACCACTTCGGTGGGAAGGTAACAGCGTTCCGTGCGCCTAGGTGTTTAGTCATGCCGGCCACATGACCACGGAAATGTCTTCGGACAGCGCTGGCTCTTCGGCTTTGAAACAGAGATGAGCACCGCAACCCTAGAGTCAGATTCGACTGGCTTTCGAGCAAGGGAACCTTTACCTTTTTAGCAAAGGCAGACTGCAAGGTGTAGGGGCTGCAGTGCTGGACTAGATCGGGTGGACCTAGGTTTGAATCCTTGCTCTGCCACAGAAAAGCTCTGGGTGATGTTGGGCCAGACCCCCAGTGTTTCAGCCTGACTTACCTCACAGGGTTGTTGTGCAGATAAAATGGAAGAGGGGAGAAAAATGGGTAGGATAAAAATGCTCTTAATTCAGTTGTGATCGTACTTCATTTTTTTAGTTGTTTTAATTGCTTAATTGCTGTAACCAAATTTAATTATTATTGATTAGTATATGTATTTATTGAATGTCGTGCACCACCCTGAGACCTTTGGGGGGAGGGCGGCCCCCAAATAAATAAATAAATAACTTACTGGTGCATATTCCAAAGCCTGTCTTTCCAGACTGGACTAATCTTTTCTCATATTTTTAAACTCCCAAACTTTCTGAGTGTGTTTGGAAGCAAACAGTGGAGCAGAGTTATCTTAACTGAAAACTTTTCTTTGGCTGCGAGTTCTCATTGCCCTGAAATGTTTGGTCAATATCATTTCTAAACAGACAACCCGATGGCTTCTAAACTGACTCTCGGTATTATGATGTGGATGCGATTCTTCCTTTGCTTGTAGTCAAACAAGGTCCCCAGCACACGACACTGTTCTGACAGACGGGATCCAGACAAGTTAACACTACAAAGTCCTGGCTAAAACTCTGTTGTAATATGATGCATCTGCCATCGACGACGAGGACTGCAGCGTATGGAGAGAGGAACTCGAAACAAATCCTCAACTGCAGAACAAATTTAAATATCCTACGGGCAGCTCCAAAGTTACCCTCCAGGCAGCCAAGAAAGCAGGTTTTTAAAAAAGCAAAACTGCCTTTGCATTATTATTTTTCCACCACTTATATTCAGCACACACACGCACACACTTTTTGGGGGGAAGGGGTCTGTTTACTAAGATTTTTTTTCCCATTCCCTCCTGCCCAATCGCCGCCCCACAACCTCTAGGTCGCTTCTGCTCTGGCAGGCTGTCAAAAGATTCTTTGGCTGGTGTGTACGAGCGCGGTGCCGCACATGAGACATACTCACTCAGAGGTCTTGCTGTTGCTGCCATTCACTGAGCCAGCGTGTTGCTCCTCTGGGTTTAGAATCCGGATCCCCAAGGACTGGAGAGCTCTCGTCAGAATCGCCTCCATCGCCTCCACCGAGAGCTTCTCGAGAACGAGAACGCGGCACCGGCTCAGAAGGGCAGCATTGACCTGGAAAGAAGGATTTTCGGTGGTTGCTCCAATCAAGGTCACGGTCCCACACTCGACGTGAGGAAGGAAAGTGTCCTAGCCATGGGAGGGAAGCAGAAGAAGGTGGTCCCCATCAGCGACAGCTTGAGGCATCCAATGTAAGTGCGTTCTTTCATAACGGAAACTGCATTTTTCCTTGGTTTCCACTCGCTCGCAAATGTGACGGATGTGCTTTTGACAGCTCGCCCTGCTTAGCTGAGTTAACAGCTTCATTCGTTCCAGGAAATTAGTGTATGTTTCAGGGAAGTCCTTCGGCATCCCGAACAAGAACACAAAACAGTAGTCGTATAAAGCCATCATTTTCTGGAGACACCATTTCCGTCCTTTTTTTTGTTTCTTTGTTTGGGACAGGAACAGTCCCGTCTATATGCAGAACTACTGAAATGTTAAACAGAGAACGGGAACTCTTTGACAGCTCGTCCTGTGCCCTCTGCTCCAGAAAAGGATGGCTCTAAGTTAGGAACTGTATAATTCTGATGCAAGGTTCAAAACGATGGCTTTTCTTTTGAATTCACGGTCACGAACTTTGGAATATTCATTGTACATCCATTTGTCATTCCGTGCATGTTTTATAGTGTCCCACTCTAGCTGCTGATGGTCTCTTTTCCCCCTTGTTCTTAGGTTCACTTTCAGTTGCAGAATTTTTTAAGGATCCAAATGCAACATAGGTAAAATACGTCCTTAAAGCTTCTCCCCAGATGGTGGGGAAATATGCTTTTGCTGTACTGATTGGGGAAGGTGGACACATTGAAATATGGCAGCATGTTTTGCATTCCAAGCTTGTAATTTAAACCACTCGATAATGTTTTTAGGATTGCAAATCAAACTGTTTAAGTTGTCAAACTCTAGAAATGCATTTTCAGTACAGAGCAAAAGAAATTTCTTTTCTAGTTTTAACATTCTGCAATGCGTCCATTTGGTTTACTAGATCTGAGAATTGGAATTTGATCAGGTCCCTGGCCAGAAGCTCTCTCTAAACTTAACCTACCTCCCCAGGACTTGGATAAAATGGAACTGCTGCCAGCCAACCATGTATGCAATTCTGGTCTCCTTCCCAGAAAAGCAGGACAGAAGGAGATAAATTTAAATCCAAAGCAATATCACTAAGAACACATAATAAGCAGCACATATCCAAGCATATCCTACTGAAGTTGAGCAAATACCTGCTGAGACTTATTGAAACGGTGTATTTCATCAATGAAGAGGATGGTTTTCCTCTTGAAGAGTCTCTTTTCATTTTGGGCTTGGGAGATGACTTCACGGACCTCGTTGGTTTTGGCACTTGTGGCCGATAGTGTCACAAACCTCGTGCCTTTCTTCTTGCTGCCTTTTGCTACGATATGCGCCAGGGTAGTCTGAAAGAAAGAAGGGTCAGCAGACCGATTTTACTTTCGGCACAGGAAATAGCGGGTTCAGGGTCATCCAGAGGCAGAACACACGAAGGGAACCCAGTCTTTACGAGACACATAGCCCAATCGGTCAAGTTTAGGAGTTCTCACAGTTGTTACTCGTTTTATTAATGCTCTTGTCGGTTTTAAAATTACACTCAGACGACACTGGTTTTGTGAAACACCAAAGGACTAACACACAGCTCCATATGAAGGCTCAAGACGATAAGAAGAGCCCTGCTGGATCAGAGCATCTAGTCCAGCATCCTGTCTCACACAGTGGCCAACTAGTTCCTCCGGAAGGCCAACAACAGCGTATAGAGGCCGAGGCCTTCCCCTGATGTTCCCTCCTGGCACTGGGATTCAGAGGCCGACTGCCTTTGAATGTGGAGGCTCCCCTCAGTCAGGGAGAAAAATTTCTCTTTGTCAGCTCTCTCTACCCCAAGCAAAATTTTTATAAACCTCTATCATTGTGGTGTCACTCGTTGGGGTGTGGGGTGCAGGGGTGCATGCGATGCAAAGACGACAGGACACGAGTCTGCAGGAAGCTGTCTCAAACCTCTCGGTTTCCCAGCATTTATTTATAAGCTCAGTTTCCCCCCATTTCCTCCCCCCTTCCTCTCACACTCCTTCTCCCTGCGTAGAGGAAAGTTTCAAGCATTCGAGCATCCTTTTGGAATGTGTGTGTGTGTGTGTACAGGCGTCTGTCTTATCAATTTCTCCCCCTCAAGCCCAAATTGACTGCGTAGGGAATCACCAGACTTCTCATGCTGGTAGCACACAAATACTTTCGGGTTTCCAATCTCCAGGCAGGAGAATAATTCTTCTGCACTGCTTTCCTACATACATCATGTCCCCTTAGCCGTCTCTTTCCTACACGGAAAAGTCCCAGGCTCTTCACCCCTTCCTCATAGGCAAGGTGCTCCACTCCCCTAATCATCTTGGTTGCCCTCCTCTGAACTTTTTCCAGCTCTGCTATGTCCTTTTTTGAGAGACGGCGACTAGAACTGTACACCGTGTTCCAAATGAGGCTGCACCATAGATCTATACAGGGGTATTACAACATCACCCATTTTATGTTCGAGCTCTTTCCCAATAATCTGTAACACAGAATTGGCCCTTTTCACTGCTGCAGCACACCAGGTTGACACGTTCATTGAACTATCCACTACAAACCCCAAGAGCTTTCCCTCCCTCAGTCTCAGCAGGTTCAGACCCCCATTAGCCTATACTTGAAGCTGGGATTTTGTTGCCCCATTGTGCACCACCTAGAGATGTAACATTTTCAGAAATTTTGAACCTTGGGGAAAAAACGGTTTTTTTCCCGGTTTTTTTTTGGGGGGGGGGGGGAAGGGAAATTTTTAAAAAAATTGAAAAAAAGGTAAATTTAGATTTTTAGGGGGGGGGGAATGGAAATTTTTGAAAAAATTGAAAAAAATGCTACATTAGCATTTATTTTGTCTTTTCCAGTTTGAAAGTCATTCTGTTACTTTAGGAACATCAAATATGACTATGGACATTTATACTTGGCATGAAATTATCACAACTAGCATATTAAAAATATAGTGTATCCAAACAATTATTACAAACAGAATACCCTCCCACATGCTAAAACAAAACTGAAACTTTTTAATTTTCTTCTGACAATCGCACCTCCTAAAGGAAGAAATGCATCTTGTTCTTGCATTGGAGAGTTCAGTTTGTAACCTAGGACTTGCTTGTCCTCAGTGCACAGAAATTACATCAATCTGATACCATATATATATATTTTAGAAATGATTTGGAAAATATTTGAACACCTGGTCTTAAAATATTTTATTCATCATGTTAAAATAAAACGTTCCATAATCAATTTTTTTCTTTTCTTTTTTCAATTTTTCGGAAAAAACCAAAAAAGGCTTCAGGAAAAAAACGGAAAAAAACCATTTTCCCCCCGAATTTTCCCGGTTTTTTCCCAGGCCTTCACATCTCTAGAACCACCTTACAGTTGCTTAGCTCGTGTATGTTTTCAACATCTTGCAGTGCCATATACACACTACACATATCAGTGGTGTATTCTGTAGACATAATTCTAATAAGCATGAATCCTATATGTATATGTCCATTCTGTTAAATGATTTCCTGGTTATCTAACACTTGGCCTACACACAAATGAAATATAATACCTACACTTTATTGGCTGCCAGACAAACTGTTGATTTATCTTAAAGGGTGGTTATTTTGGTTTCCTCTCTTTGCCCTCTTGATAGGACATCTTATTTATATGTCAGAGATTATTTATGGGCAGTTTGGAGTGGTTCTTAGTGCAGGCCTCTGCAACTTGATTTTTGTCAAGCCAAACACAGCCACCAGCCGTGACCAGTGTTCCCTCTAAGCTGAGTTAGTGTGAGCTAGTTCACAATTTTTTAGCCTCCAGCTCACACACTTTTGCCTTGGCTCAGGAAGAAGGGCTCCAGAGCTAACTGATTTATGCAGTAGCCAAATCACTGGCTCACAACTTTAAAGCCAGTAACTCACAAAGCAGAATTTTTGCTCACAAGACTCCACAGCGTAGAGGAAACATTGGCTGTGACCTGCCAGTACATTCCACTACCAAATTTTGCAGTCCCTCCTAACCACACACTAAGTGTTGTTTTACGTTCCTGGCAGGCCACCACACAAGGATGGTGAGCTGCATGAGATGGCTAGCCGTAAGTTGTGCATACCCTCCTGTGTTATAGGAAACCCATTTTAGGTAAAATACAGATCTTATAGGAAAATTTAATGTCAGTGTACTGAAGAAGCATGGATAGCATAAAAGGGTACCTCAAAGGGAAGTCCTGCCTAACCAACCTTTTGAAGTTCTTGTAGAAAGCAAACAAATATGGAAGTAATAGTGACTGGTAGATATTATAGACTTGGACTTTCAACAGGCTTGTGACAAGGTTCCTCAACGAAGACTCCTGAGTAAGTTAGACAGAAACTATTCGCTATTAGCCACAAGGTATAGATAGGAACTCTTGGTCTGGGGCAAGTGATGCTCTGAATTCTTGCTGCTTGGGGGGGGGGGAGCAACGGTGGGGGGGCTTCGAGTGTCCTGGGCCCACCAGTGGGCCTCTTGACGGCACCTGGTATTTGTGGCCACTGTGTTACAGAATGTTGGACTGGATGGGCCATTGGCCTTGGCTTCTCTTATGTTCTTATGGACTCTTATGGATTAAAAATTGGTTAAATGACAAGTAGCTAAGAGTAGGAATAAATGGACAGTTCCTGCAATGGAAGGAAGGATGCAGTCCCAAAAGGATTGGTATTGGGGCTGGCACTACTTAATTTGTTCATAAACGATCCGGAACAGGGGGTGATGGCCTGCTACTGGCCCTCCAGAGTAAATGGTTGGCCACTGTGTGTAACAGGATGTTGAGCTAGATTGACCACCCGTCTGATCCAGCAGGGCTCCTCTCAAGTACCTCCAGACTACATTTTAAAAGGATTTTTGTATAATGTGGTATGCTAGTCCAAGTTCTATGCTATGTAAACTGAACACTATCTAGTTTAGCTAATTATAATTTAAAAATTCTTTTTTTCATAATATGGAGGTATCCATATTATGTCTCCCATCTTTAAAAAGGGTTCCAGAGGAGATCCGGGAAATTACAGGCCAGTCAGTCTGACGTTGATACCGGGTAAATTGGTGGAAACCATTATTAAGGAAAGAATTAGTAGGCACATAGATGAACAAAACCTATTGAGGCAGACTCAGCATGGGTTCTGTAAGGGAAGATCTTGTCTCACTAACCTGTTAGTGTTTTTTGAGGGGGTGAACAAACATGTGGACAAGGGGGATCCAATAGATATTGTTTACCTTGACTTCCAGAAAGCTTTTGATAAAGTTCCTCATCAAAGGCTCCTAAGTAAGCTCAAAAATCATGGATCAAAAACTGGCTAATTAATAGAAAACAGAGAGTGAGTATAAATGGGCAGTTCTCTCAGTGGAGGGTGGTAAGCAGTGGGGTACCACAGGGATCAGTACTTGGTCCAATGCTTTTTAACTTGTTCATTAATGATTTGGAGTTGGGAGTAAGCAGTGAAGTGGCTAAATTTGCGGATGATACGAAGTTGTTCAGGGTGGTGAAAACCAGTGAGGATTGTGAGGCACTCCAAAGGGATCTGTCAAGGATGGGCGAGTGGGCGTCAACATGGCAAATGGGGTTCAATGTGGCCAAGTGCAAGGTGATGCACATTGGAGCCAAAAATCCTAAATATAAATACACATTGATGGGGTCTGAACTGGCAGAGACTGATCAAGAGAGAGATCTTGGAGTTGTAGTAGATAACTCACTAAAAATGTCGAGACAGTGTGTGACTGCAATAAAGAAGGCCAATGCTATGCTGGGGATTATTAGGAAGGGTATTGTAAACAGATCAGCCAATATCATAATGCCCCTATATAAATCAATGGTGCGACCTCATCTGGAATACTGTGTGCAATTCTGGTCACCACACCTTAAAAAGGATATTATAGCTTTGGAAAAAGTGCAGAAAAGGGCAACTCGAATGATAAAAGGGTTGGAACACTTTCCCTATGAGGAAAGGTTAAAGCGCTTAGGGCTCTTTAGCTTGGAGAAAAGACGACTGAGGGGTGACATGATCGAGGTTTATAAGATTATGCATGGGAAAGAGCAGGTAAAGAAAGAGGTACTTTTCTCCCTTTCTCACAATACAAGAACCCGTGGGCACTCCATGAAATTGCTGAGCGGTCGGGTTAGAACGGATAAAAGGAAGTACTTCTTCACCCAAAGAGTGATTAACACATGGAACTCACTGCCACAGGAAGTGGTGGCAGCTACAAGCATGGACGGCTTCAAAAGGGAATTAGATAAGCATATGGAGCAGAGGTCCATCAGTGGCTATTAGCCACAAGGTATAGCTAGGGGCTCTGGGGCAAGTGATGCTCTGTCTTCTTGGTGCTTGGGGGGGGGGTCAACAGT